ATATTTATTTTCTAATTCTATGTGTTTCTTCTTTATATGCTCTTTCCATCTTAGCTTGACATCTAAAGTCATTCCCAGGTATTTTGCTGAGTTATGGATCGCTACGTTCGTTCCGTTTACGTTAATTTGTGGTGGATTTACTATTTTCCGATTGGTGAAGTTTATGTGAACCGATTTCGCTTCATTCAACTTCATCTTCCAATCTCTAGTCCACTGGCTTATTTTGTTAATTGCCTCCTGTAATTTTTTTGTCGAATCGTCAATGTTCGCTCCTACAGCAAATATTGCAGTATCGTCTGCAAAAGTGGCTATCGTAGCATTTTCTATATGCGGCAAATCACTCGTGTGAAGCAGGTGTAATATACCGCCTTGAGGAACACCTGCCCTTATTGCGCTTAGCGTGGAGTATTCAGCATCTTGTTTAATTCTAAATAATCTATCAGCTAAGTGAGATTTCGAAATTTCTACAAATGACGATGGTAACATTTGCCTTAACTTAAGTCTTAAGTATGGCCTTTGTGCCATACCCTGTCGAATGCCTGTGCTACGTCTAGAAACTTGGAAGAGCAGATTCCCTTATTTTCCAAGCTTTTTTCTATAATAATAGTTATTCTATGGACCTGGTCCATTGTAGAATGGTTCCTTCTAAAATCAAATTGATGGTTCGGTATTAGGTCCCTATTTTCTATTATTGGCTTCAATCTCCTTGATAGCAGCTTTTCAAAAAGCTTAGACATCATTGGTAACAGTGAAATGGGCCTGTAAGACTTTGTTTCCCTCAAGGAATTCCCGGGTTTGGGTACCATAATTACCTCCGCGACTTTCCAAGCACAAGGAACATACCCAAAATCCATAGCTGCATTCATGATTTTCGTCAGATGTTCCAATGCCTCGTGTGGTAGCTCTCTCAGTACTTTCGCAGTAATAAGATCAAAACCTGGCGATTTTTTCAAATTCAGGGATCTTATCCCTTCCGCAATTTCTAATTGTGTAAGTGGAGCTATGCTGTCTGCTTCATTTGCGATAGATTCTACCAAACTTACATCTTAGGTTATTTCGTTTGGCGTGAACATGCTTTCTAAGTGATCAGCAAACAATTCGGCCTTCTCTATATTGCTCCTAGCCCAAGTGCCATTTTCTTTCACCAGTGGCGGAGCGTGCCACCTTTCGGTCTCTTTTTGCTCCTTGCCGCCTTCTCTAAGGAATAATTCGTTTCCTTCGTAGCTGACAAGTTCTTTATATAATTTTCGTATGTTGCCGATTTAAATTCTTGGATTTTTCTTTTAAGCACCTGGGAAATTTTGTTTAAAACAGTTTTATCATCAGATGGCAACGCGAACGTTGCCACCTACGTCTGACCCTTCTCTTTTCACCTACTAAATCAGTTATTTCACCAGGATAGCTATTTGCTGTCGGTTTATACTTTGACATTTTTGTGTTGTTTCATGCAGCTTTTTGTTTGATTTTAATAAATCCTTTTAATTTCACATCTAATTGTTCTCTTGATTGTACATTAATATTTACGTCAATATTGTTTATTATTTCATATTTAAAGCTCGCCCAATCTGTAGTGCTATTTATCAAACTGGGCCTAAATAATGTTTTAGTTATTTTTTCACTTAGTTTTAATATGACAGCAGAGAGATCCGAATTAAAATCATAGTTATCTTCAAGGCTTAGAAAGTTTTCTGATATTTTTTTGGTTATAAAAAAGTGAATAACATCAGGAATCTTGTTACTGTCAGTAGGTCAATAAGTACGAGTATCAGTAGAGTGATAGCAACAACCTAGCTCTTAAATAGCTTTTTTTAGCTCTCTTCCTCTAGTTGAGGTGATTCTAGAACCCCAATCTGTATGTTTGGCATTATAGTCACCTCCTATAAGATATCTGTGTCCATGCTTGTACAGAAGATCTTTAAAAGTATTTTTCTTAATGCTGCAATTTGGTGGACAGGACCAACACTAAAGTTCTGTTTAATCGATTTAATTTTTATCGAAATAAGCTGAATTTCAAGGCTCGTATAATATGTCAAATGAGCCTCCGACAGCAAACAAATATCTACATTTCTCGTTTTGAGAAAGAACTCCAATTCTTGTTTCTTATGAAGAACACCATTAACATTCCAAGTTACTATACGTACCTCATTTACGTATATCTTTTCTTAATTTCTCTGATGTCCCCGTATACACCTCAGTGTATGCATTTTCTATTTTTAATAATCTTTTAGAGATCTCGTCAATTCTAATCAACACACTATGTATTATTTGCATAATGTCTGCAAGTTTTTTGCAACCAAACAACGTCGATAGCTAGCATTGTGTGCCTCATTGCAGTTCGCACATTTGGGCTGAAAATTATCCTTCTTGTTCCACTCTGCTGTCATATGATTACCAGTACTTTTGTGTGTGTCTAAATCTCTGGCATCACTTGCATTGCGGAATGGATTTGCTGCTTCTAAGAGCTTAAATTTTTACTCTCATGTGCTGTAAGTATTCTATTTTATAGATCTTGGCTATCTCTTCCGAGTGGTTTCGAAAAGATAACATAAAGAGCGGAAGTTTTACTGAAATATATTTTCCATTTTCTTTCTTCCTTTTGATTTTATTTACAACATCTAGACATAAGCTCCCTTTTTATATCCTTTGGCTCACATGATGGATGGAGATTTCTAGCCATTCATACGTGTGCCACTCCAGTCTAGCCTTATTTATAGCTTTTGTTGGTAATCTGTATTAATTTTCATTTTCCACATTTATTTTTAATTGGTCATTATTCATCATATTGACCCTAACGTTTATTCTTTCTTCTTTTAATATCTTAACTATGTGGGAGTAGTTGTTAATTTTGCTCAATATAACCGGAGGAGGCTTCTGCTTTTTTGGATTTTCAGCCTTTATTTTAGGACTGGTTTCATTATTTTTTTTGCTGTTCTCTCTGAATTTATTACAGGAGACTTTTCCATTTTTCCCTTCTTTGCATTATTCTGTTTTAGGGCCCAGTCAGTTTCTCTAGCCAGTTCTTCCTCGTCGGGTTCATATACAATAACTTCCGCATCTTTATTACCGACCGTATTGTGTAAACATTATGTGATGGCAACAAATTTTGCATATCGAGTTTTGGGTGGGAATGCACTTCTCCATAATAGGGAAGTGTAAGTAAACTATTTTTAGCAACCTGTCGATCCGTCGGTCTGTCGGTCTTGCGGTCTGTCGGTCTGTCGGTCTGTCGGTCTGTCGGTCTGTCGGTCTGTCGGTCTGTCGGTCTGTCGGTCTGTCGGTCTGTCGGTCTGTCGGTTTGTCGGTCTGTCGGTCTGTCGGTTTGTCGGTCTGTCGGTCTGTCGGTCTGTGTGTGCACGCGTGTATCTCAAGTTCTGCTGAACCGATTTTGATGAAATTTTATATGTAAGTTTATTTCCACCATGGCACGGATCGATCAACTTTTGGTATATATCAGGCCTCGGGAACTGCACTTTTTAGCGGGCCTGTTTTACATTTTTGAACATTTTGAAAAAAGTATTCAACCGATTTACTTGAAATTTTATATATAAGCTCAGCTCGACCGTCCGCAAATATTCCTATGTTTTGGAAGAGATCAGGCATCGGCAACTAGACGTTTACTACGGGCCAAATATACATTTTTGTGTATATGAAGAGAAAGAATCAACCGATGTCATTGAAATTTAATATTTGAATTGATCGTATTAAAACAATAAACATATAAATTTTTTGGAAGCATCAGGGCTGGAGAACTGATTTGCGGGCCGATTTCACATTTTTCACCATTTTGAAGAAAATATTTAACCGATTTACTTGAAATTTCATATATGAGCTTTGCTCGACCGTCCGCGAAAATTCCTAGCTTTTGGAACAAATCAGGCATCAGCAACTGGACGTTTACTACGGGCCAAATATACATTTTTGTGTATATAAAGAGAAATAATCAACCGATTTCATTGAAATTTAATATTTGAATTGATCGTATTAAAACAATAAACATATAAATTTTTTGGAAGCATCAGGGCTGGAGAACTGATTTGCGGGCCGATTTTACATTTTTCACCATATCTATGGAACGAATTGATGGGATTTCATGAAATTTGATATTTGAGTTCTGGGCATTACCAAAACTAACTGGTGGGCATTTCAGGGAATTCGGATAGCACAAAGCTAACTCTACTAAGAGCCAAATTTACATTTTTCTAGGTATGTTAACTATAAGCTTACAAATGTCCTTAAAATTGGAAAGAAGTATTTAACAGACATTTTTATAATATTCTGTAACACTTTCATTTAACTAGACAATACACAATGCGGTCGGTTATGTGCTGACCACATCAGATTTTTTTTCTTTTCTGTTGATGCAGATTTTATTTCATTTTTTAAATCTACATTCTCTGCCCGTAATTTGCAGATCTTGTTTTGTAGCACCTTACAAAGACTCTCTAACTTTCTCTGCAATCACCAATGGGGGTGGTCGCATGACCCCCGATCTTCTTCCAAATGGGTCCATCAACGCCGACCTACTATCCAATAAGTGTGGATTTTCCAGAGTTACTGGATTACCACGTAGGGTATTCAATCCCTGTGTTTTGTTCATTGCATTTGTTTGTTTTATTTCGGAGTTTTCTTCTCCTAGCCTTTGAGAATCATTATCTCGTGCAAGGCAGCACATAAAATTTCGGCCGTTCCTCAGGGATCAGTCGCAGATTAGAGAGCCGCCCGTTGTGAGTCCGTCGCGTCTGGATTTCCATTTGGATTTTAGTGGACTCTTACCACAAGCATATCTTACTGCGGATATTTCGTGGCCCAATCCGCCGGGCGAAAAAACAAACATAATAAAAATATTATAAAGAAATTTGTATAAGTTTTGAAGTTTCTGATGCGATAGTTTAGGTAAATCAGTGTATAAGCCTTACTAACAATGTCAAAATAATTTCTCATAAAATTAAAATCACATACATGCCTAAAAAGAATTATATGGACTTTAAATATAAAAAGAATTCATATAAATTTAATAAAATAACAAGTAAAAACGTTTCAGTCGGTATGAACCGATTGAATTATACCCTGCACTTTTCATTGTTGCACAGCAATTACTCAAACCTATGAAACCATTCTATAGAAACTTCACGATATATCTGATCTATAACTGAACACACAACTACCAAGTTTCGTGAATCTGACTTTATTATTTTTCCAAATATTTAAAATTACCTTTTAGGTACCCGAACCTGCCAAGCAATTCCACTAAAACTTCGCTAATATATCTGATCTATAATTGGACACACAACTGCCAAGTTTCATGAACCTAACTTTATTACTTTTCCAAATATTTAAAATAAGCTTTTGGACTTGTATGGGAGCCACTCGAACCTGTTAAGCAATTCCACCAAAACTTCAGAAATATCTTTGACCTATAATTGGACACACAACTGCCAAGTTTCATGAATCTGTCTTTATTATTTTGCCGAATATAAAAAATTTGTTTTTGGAGTTGTATGGCAGCCACCCGAACCGGTGCAGCTATCTCATTAAAATTTTTAGAGCATATGTAGAATATAATTGGACACATGTGTACAAAATTTTATGTACCTTTATTAGTTTTTGAAATAATTAAAATAAACTCTTTGAGTTGTATGGCAGCTACCCGAACCCGTTGTCCGAATTGGTCCAATAACAATAGGGTTCGTCCTTGGCACAAAAGAAACAACTTGTGAAAGCTTGGTGTCGATTGCATTATTCGTTTTTGAGTTATCGTGCGATCTGACGGACGGACGGACGGACGAACGGACGGACATGTCTAAATCAACGCAGAATTTTACGCTGAGCAAGAATATATATATATGTCCATACCGCAGATGACTCCTTCAAGTAGTTACAAACTCCATACCAAAGTTAATATACCCTTCACGAAGTGCAGGGTATAAAAAGAAGTATATAAATTTAATTAATATAGTACACATATGAAAAATATACATAGATATATACATATGTGATTATATCAAAGTATGCATTTCGGAGACATATCATACAAAATTAGCAAACTCGTTAATATCAAATGTATATTTTCTCAAAGTTGAAAGTATACACGAAAATCAACTTAATACTTAGAAAAAAAATTGCACCATTTATTGTAGCATTTAATGAAATCAAAAAAATGAACGGAACCTGCAAGGCTTTTTTTAAAGTTTTAATACCACAAAACTTTAAGAATAAGAATGAAATTTAGCTTTTTCTTATTAAATATTTGGAAAATGTTGATCTTGTGAGAGATTTAAGATGTTAAAAAGGGCCCTCTGGAGATCCCATAAGAATACGTGTATATTTGACAGCTGTGAACCGTCACTCTCCTTTGGAGTCCAGACCTGTATTTCTGTCAGTCGTGAATGTCTATTATTTTTTTAAATGTCTGCTATGAAATTTGAAAAATTTAAATATTGACACTTGACATCTTTAGTGAAATATCGATTTTGACACTCCAAAAAATAATCTTGCCATTGCAGATTCATTATCTCTATGAGAGAGATTTATAAATACTCAAAAATCTACGTGCGTGACTTTGTTTAAAATTCGTAGAATTCTACGAGTGAGATTCACAATAAGGTTGATAGTTGTTCTGAATTCTCAAAAGTATTTTTCCTTCATATTTTTGCGCAATTTAATGATCTTCTTCTACCAATTTAATAATCTACCAAAAACCTATTTCAGGGGGTTGTATTCGGATATTAATTGGGCTATATTCAGATATTCATTTTTTTTTACTCTTAACTCAAAAAAACAAAAAATATTTTAACTACGTGTGTCATAGTTTCTTTGTTCAATTTACCCATTTGAGATTGGTGGGCTCCATTGCCGCCTTGCGTAGCAGCAGCTTATAAGTGCTTAGAGCCATGTCCAGGTTCTCCCTTTCAGGTAGAATCCCGAGATTCATCTCGAACTGCTTCGACATCTCATTGAGAGACGACCTGAACTCTAAGATCCTTCTGGAGTTTCCTTCTGGAATTAGAGACTACCTCTGCCTGAAAAACAACGGCAGAATCCGTTCCGGTATCTGATCCGGAAGACGGAGGGAGAACTTAACATCAAATTGCTCAGAATAGACTCCCCCACCTACCCTGTTCTCAACTTTGGATCCGTCCGTGGAAAAATGAACGGACTCGCCCTTGAAACTGCCTTTGCTCAGTCAGGTCTGCCTCGGCGGAATCAAAATACCAGAGTTCTTGGTAAATGAGAGCACAGGACGAACAGAGTTTTCCGTTCCCACCAGGTGTCCCCAGTTCGCAAGAACGGAAGCATGTCTTGCCGTGCCACATGTCCACTGATATGCGGACGTGAGTCGTACCGCGGAGTCTGCAGCCATCGGTCCAGCATGTCTAATGGCGGCAAATGGACGAGAATCTCAAGAGGCTGAGTAGGGGTGAAGCATAACATTCCACCGATACACTCCATTGCCATTCTTTGAATTTTGCTTATCAGTTTAAAGTTCGGAGCTGTACGGAGAGCTGGCCACCATATCAGAACACCATAGGTCAGGATCGGTCTCACCACCGCAGTGTATAGCCAATAGACCATGTTAGGCCACCTCTTCCCGATGGCTCAATAGTTGCTTTCCTTACTCTCTCCGTGAAGTTGAACTTCCAGTTCAGTTTTGACCCAGGGTTCTGGCCTCCCTGTTAAAAGTTAAGCGGATTCCATTGACTCGCGGTGGGGTTATGTTCTGTACCTTGTATTTATTACTCAGAAATAACTAGTTCCGTCTTTTGTGGGTTTATAGTCAGTCCACAGGCAAGAGCCAAGTCAGAGACGAGGTTTAGAGCCTTATACATGAGCCCATTCAGGATACCAAGGTGCTTCCCAGATACAGCTACCCTCAAGTCATCAAGTCAAGCTCTCCTCCTCCAGGCATAATAGTAATCGATTGATTACTAAACTCCAAAGAAGAGGAACCAGATGCTTCTGCCTGTCAGAGCCCTTAGGGAGCCATGAATTGAAACCTTCGACAGCGCGTAAATGATAGCCCGCGGCCGGACATTGTTCAAGGTGCCTTCAATATATAAGAAGGCAGCCATTGTGTACTTTTTACATTTCAAAGACTTTTCGATACATTTTATCAAAGAGTGGAGGGCCGTTTCCGTTGACCTCCCTTTACGATACGTATGTTGTGTCGGAGATGTCAACGAATTAAGGTTGCTCTTAATGTATGCATCTTTCAACTTTTCAATATTTTTAATAGAAATGATGTTAGACTGATAGCTCTGAGATCCTTTGGGCAGCTGTGAGAGCTTCTCCCACTCTTAGGAATGAAGACCACTCTGGCAACATTCCACGTTTTTGAAATGTAGGTTAAGTCTATACAGCACTCATAGATGATCTTCAGCCTCGGAAGGATGCCCCCGCACGTATTGTATTTCTCCCGGCCTAATGTCGTTAGGGCTCGCCGACTTGAAGGGCTCAAACTGCGAATGGCCCACAATATTTCTTTTTCAGAGGCCACTGCCCCCACACAGGACCCGTTGCGACAATCAATCGATCAATAATTCAAGATAATTCAATTTTCATATCATGTGTTCTTTATTAAATTTTATTTTGTGGAAAAAATAAATATTCTAAATATTTCCGAACTAAGAAATAAAAAACGTATTATTGTCAAATTTTTAAAATTTTACATCAAAAGTTTCATTTCGTCGTTCACTAGTTGCAGGGAAAATATTTTTTTTTTAGCTTTAATACATCAATGATAAATCCCTAATATATTTTGAAAATAATTCACACTGTTTTATTTTACTTATTGCACTCAACGGCATCAGTGCGTCTTCATAAATTGCTTTCATGGGTTAGGACAACCCAAAATTTAAGGCGCTCCAATTAGTCCTTTTGTAACCTCCGCAACTTCACGTCATAACTTCGTCATGACATTGCTCCACCTTATATATGGCGAAAACTTCCGCTTGGGGCACGCTCAATTTGTCGGACAGACTACATATATGACGTAGACATGGTTTGTGTATTTGATATAAATTTTACCCTCATCTTTGAAAACATTGGCGCGTAAAGAGATGTCGAAACTCTCTAATGATGAATCCTCTCTACGCCATCTCCTAGATGAAAACTCTACCTCAAAGTTCTTGTCGAGCTCCAGCATAGGAATGTATGGAGGTACCGACCGCAGGATATTACACTTATCGAATATTACTTTTATCGAATAATTGGCCCGTCATTATTTTTTAGAAGGGGAAGGGAAGATTATATGTAATAAGGATTAATAAAAATGAAGAGTTAAAAAGACTGATCACCACCAGATATACAGATATACAATGGAAAATTAAGATATAATACAAAAAAAATAAACTAAAAACGAGAAAGCAAAAAGCCAAACTATTAAAAATAAGTAGAGTATCTGCTCATAATAAATAACTATTTATTAATGTTAACATAACACTAATTGTAGGTGCACTGCTTCCTTTCTGTCATAATCGGAACCGTAATAGCGGACATTGTACAATCCAACAGCTCTGAAAGAAAATTGTTTTAAAAGCGAAGGAGCCACTATGACCCCCGATACAAGTTGAGGCACAAATACTATGTCTGAAATCATCCTGTGTAGGTACACAATTCCCGGAAGTTCAACAGCAATCTTGACTGACGACAAACTATCAATCAGACTGAACTAGACCGCTCAGAGCAAACTTTAGAAAAATCTGCACAGATTCAATACACGAAACATCCACCACAAGATAGTGCACACCAACCTTAAACAAATAGAGATACTGAATTGAAAAATCTTTTTGTTAGACGCCGTCTCCTGCACCGAAATCAATTTTTATAGAAACCGAAAATTAAGAAGTATTTTCCTTCTTTTTGTTACAAAATCAACGTAAGAATAAAAACAAAAGGTTATACAAAAATATTGAAATTTGAATTTTTTCAACATGGAAAATTTAAATTTTTTTAAATTAATTTGATTTATTTTAAGAATGACATTAACAATTCTGACTAAATTATATGGATAGTTTCAATAAGCATAATTTATAATGAGGAATTATTTTGATTTTTAAATAAAATCAAAAAAGTGTTAAAAAAAAATAAGATTATTTATGTCTGTTACTGCATGTGAAACGTTACATAATGTACGAGTATTAATGAATTGAGAGTAAGTAACAAATATTAAATAAAGGTCTACAATACAAATTAAAATGACTTATCAAATACAGGTCAAATTTTGACAAACACTTATTTTTGGATTCACTTATTTTGGATACAAACACTTATTTTGGATATTTGGATAATAGTATTTTTGGATAGTATTCCAATAGTGGATGGCATGGCAGCGATCGAGATTCTCTTGTTCTACTTAATAAGGTCATATTTGTTGGGTCGGTGTAGGGACGTCCTTTTGCGATATGTGCAGGATGACGGAGTGGTTGAATCCTGGTCACAGTGAGATGCAGGAGATGAGATGGCAAAGTGTCTTGCAAGAGATGGGGCGCGCGAGGGTGCTGGCTTAGTGAATAGATCAGTGCGTCTGCCGCTGAAGAAATTCTTTAATATCATAACGAAACTAAGAGGAGAGGCCTGAGCGATATTCAAATAATAAAAATGGCAAATTTATATATGTTGCTTATAAGATAATATCAAACTCGAGTATATTTTAAAATATTTGTAAAATATTTTTTCACTCTAATCTAAATATCTGCAACAAAATCAAAACTAAACAGAACTTTTTAATTTTTTTTCTCTTTGAATAAATTTATTTTATAAATTAAAATTAAATATATTTTTTTGATTAATATTTTTTTTGATACTATTTACTGCCTTGGGTGTTATTTACAATGTAGTTTTTGTTGATGGCAATGATGTTAGCAAAACATTTTTCAATGTGAGACATTGTTTTAGTGACTACTATGTCCTTTTTAAGAAATTTTAATTAAAATATTGGTTGTTACTCACTACAAAGGTAGTATATTGGCGTATACAGGTATCCCTTGTATAACGCGATAGTTACGTTCCAGGGAAATTCCGCGTTGTGTTATTCGCGTTATATAAGACTTAGTTTTCATATAAATTTGGGGGTTATGTTCCAATAAGTTTTTTTACAAAATAAAATACATATTTAATAAGAAATAACATATATTTCAACTCAAAACTAAAATTCAGATTTTGTTTTAAAATTAAAACCATAAAATAAAAATAATAACAATTCAAAAAACAAAATAAAACAGATTCATACATATAATTAAATTTAAAAAAAACTAAAACAAACTTCATTATAATTAATCTGTTTCGCTGTCTTCAAACATCCTATTTCGAGAAAGTTGTGAGCGTTATAGGAGGAGCGTCTCGAAGGCAAAAATTGGAAATTCCCGGTTTACATTGAAAACAAATATGAATACACATCCCAATGGCCAAAATGATTGTGAAAACAATGATAAAGATTTTGTTTTTTATATTGGTGTGAAAAGAAAACTTCCTTTTATTCGGAATAAAATACATTTATTTTTTTCAGAAGAAAATCAGCTTTGTTTAAGTGCGTATGTAGCGCACGAAATATATTAGCGATAAATAAAAGTATTTTATTCCGAATAAAAGGAAGTTTTCTTTTCACACCAATATAAAAAAAAAATTATATTTCGAAAAAATTATCAACCATTGAAAAAAAAATTTTTTTGAATGATAAAGATATTTTTATCGGATATTGGGATTTTCAACTTCGCGTTATAAAAGTCCGAATTTCGCGTTGTACTGAAACCGAATTTTTTTCCAAATCGCGTTATATCGAAAACGCGTTATATAAGTACCGCGTTATACAAGGGATACCTGTATTTTCTCATTAGTTGACTGAGCTTTACATATTTATTTATTCTAAAACAATATATTTTATAAAGTAGTAAAGCCGTCTCCCTTCTGCTAACTAGACGGCGTCACCCGCCTCACTTCTGAAAACTAGGCGGTGTCACCCGCCTCTCTTCTGCCAAACATTCGATGGAAACGCTTAAGTAATGCTATTTGTCAGTAATTTTTTTGAGTCCTGTCTTTTAGTATCTTTCTTAGTGATTTCTTGAAAGAACTTAAACAATTTTCAGTGAATTTTTTCGAATAGCTTTTTTGAGTTTTTTAACGATTTTTTTGGTGGTCCGTTTTGACAGAGCTGGTCGTCGGGAGAAAAATACATTTTTGAGTACTTAATTTCTTTTTCAATATTTCTTTTTTGAGTGATAAGAAAACAAAAATAGTATGATACTGAGTTGTATTATGAAATTTGTTTGTTATATTTTTTTCTATTTCTATTTATTAATTTTTTTTTCGTTTTAACAAAAGTGTTAAAAAAAATAAAATTTTTATTAGAACTCAAAAAACAACAACAAGAAAATCACTCAAAAAAATCACTTGAAAAACCCTTTGGGGAAAACTCCAGCTAAAAAAGAACAAACTCCAGTTTTCTACCATGAAAACATTACCGAAAAATCATCGTCAAGAAAATTACTTAGAAAAGTCACTCACGAAATCACTTCAAAAACTCAAAAAATCACACAAAAAAGTCACTCGAACTTTTCCGACGAAGAGCTGTGTCTAAAGGTCCAGACTCTAGTTTTCTACGTTAAGTTGTTTTCTTTTTAGAGCCATTCAAAAATGTAATTTCAAATGTGGACGACCGACAAACCATAACACTAACATACAACAACATTGGGCTATTATTGTTACAGAAAATTCATACTAACAACCTTTTTCTCGAAAATGTATTTAAACTCCAAACTTTACATCAGCCAAGCTCTCTGAGCAACGGAAGAAGTAAGACCGAAGGAATGTCTGATGGAACCCGCCAGTGTCGCACATGAGCACTGAAGGTGTGTCACCGTTTCGTCCTCTCAAAGTAGCTGTTACAGTGATAGTTTGCGGGACGACCCATCCTTCTCACATGTTCATGTTCACCACAGACAACGTCAAAACCCCTATCACACCACCGATATCCCCCCGTCGAAGAAATATCAGGTCTCTCGCGCGACGCAAGTGTGGCTTTGGCCACAGCTTCCTCATCGCGTTACACGTTGTCTCGTTTTCCCATCTGAGATTGGTGCGCTCAACTGCCGCCTTGCGTAGCAGCAGCTTATGAGTGCCTGGTTCTCCTTTTCAGGTAGGATTTCGAGTGTTGTCCCATGTCTCACAAACTAGTCTGCAGTACAGTTATCTGGAACATCACTGTGTCCGGGAACCCAAACTAATTTTATCTTGAATTTTAAAAACTAATTTTATCGCCATCTCGTTGAGAGACTACCTACACTCTAGGACTGTTCTGGATGTAGAGACCTCAGATTCCAGCGACCTTATCCCGGCCTGGCTGTCCATGAAGATACTGACGTTATCGGCAGATATTATACTGCCGTGGACTAGCGCAGAGCCTCCTCAATTGCCACCACCTCTGCCTGAAAGACACTGTAACTGTGATCAGGTAAACGAAAAGATAGCTTAGCATCCAATTGCTTAGAATGGACTCCGCTCCCCTATGCTATTGTCATGATTTAAGGAAGGTTTAGGCATAAAACAAAATAATAATTTTATTCAGATATCTTTATATACTATGTATGTATTATGATTTAACATTTTAAAATTTGTCGTTCGAACAATAAGAAATGAATGTATTATACAATAATAATAAATGTAGTATACATAATTATGAATGTATAAATTTTTTAAGCCCCTAACGAAACATAATTATTCAAAACTGTGGGTTTACATGTAGAAATAAATTTTAAACATATAATTATAGAATTATGTAGGTAAACTTATTGAAATAAATTTTTCAAATAAAAAAAGGGTTTAGCCGTAAACAAAATATTTATTGTATTCAAATATATGTATGTAGATATGTATGTATTAAAGTTTAGAAATTTATAATTTTAAAGTTTCAGTAATAAGAAAAGAAATTTTATATGCACACATACAAAAACTGTGTATACATATTTTTTTAAAACTTCCTAGCAAAACATTGCATTAAAAACAATAGCAAATGAAGCATTAGCATCCAGATGAACAATACATCTGATGTGTGTTCAAAAAATTGACATTATTATCTATTCCCATCCCTAAAAATTCCAGCTTATCCTATACGTATGTAAGATCTTTATATTTTCAAATATTGTTCGATTTTTTGGTTTGTGCTTCTGATAATATAAAGTATAAAAGAACGACATGTTTTTGTTATGCAAAAATTTTTACAGAAACTCTGAAAATAGGGCTATTTCAGGGCTGAAAAGTTCCAGTGTTAGAAATTTCTGGAACCCTATTTGTAAAACTCTATGTGATGTCTTTAGTCTAAGTCTTTAGTCCTTCTAGAAGTACTCGTACTTTTTTCACATATTAGAAGTAACTATATATATATTATATTATAAAAGTTGTACAAAATATGAATAAAATAAAGAATTAGAAATATAAGTTTAAGGTACTGATGACCAGAAGGTAATTTGATCGATATTTGTCGGAATATTGCTGTATTTTTGTATGAATGCAATTTTTGAAATATATTCGTATATTAATGAAAGTAATTTTAATAATATAGTACATAGCCAAACAGTTTCTAGATTTTAAGTGCTAAATTACAAACTATTGGTTTCATCCAACTTTCTTTAAATAAATTGCAGATAAATATTGTTATAAAAGTGTAAGAAAAATTTTTAGAAAAAAACTTTTAAAAGTTTAAGAAAAATGATTTGTATACAAACACTGGTGGTCCACTATGTAATGCTACTTTCGCTAAACCATTCTAGCATTTTAATTTTTGACACTATGTAAATTGAATATCGCAAATTTGCGTATGCGAGAGTAGCAAAAGTGGTACATACTACATGTAAATGTAACATTTATTTTAATTTATTAAATTAAAAAGACTTTGAATTTCAAATTTACTGCAATTAACTAAATTTTTGTAATTAATAATTATAATTAAAGGTCAAAGTAAAATACAAAACCATTCTGGTTTAAGAAAATAGCACTATGCCAAATTTGTTTCGCTCTTCTTTTCTCGACTTTGCACTTTTCCAGTTTTATTTTTATGGAATTGAACTTTTTATCTATAAGCTTACAAACATCCGTTAAAATAAGTAAAATGGTATGCTGACTAAGAACAACATTTAAATCTTAACCTGCATAAAAGTCTTTTGCTATCCATATTTTTTTAAAAAAAAATTAACAATTATCGCCTCCTTAATATTATACATACATTTATGTATATAACTATTTTAAAATAATTCAAATGTTTGCTTTGAAAAAACTGTCAGAAATGTTAAAAACAAAAAATTTTAGAAAATGATGCCAGTTTAAATTTTTTACGATGCGATTTTGTTACATAATACCAAACCACTTGCGAATCGCAAATCAACTTACGCAAATTTGCGATTTGCGTATTTTTACATAGTAGGCTAGATGGTAAACGATTGCATTAGTGTGATGTAAACGGAGAGTAGATATACCTACTAACCTTATAAAAATTGTTATAACCAATAAAAATATAATCTTAATCTTCAGGACCAAATTTTGTTTTCCCAGTACCTTTTTCCAAAGCAATCTGGTTACTCCGAAATAAATACTTTCAAAAAGTTTACATTTGGCTTACTTTTTTAGCACTTTTCCAAAAAATTTTTTGAAAAAAGTGCTTATTAGTTTCACTCTGTCCGTCCGTCCGTCCGTCCGTCCGTCCGTCCGTGGACACCTTTTTTGTTTACAAAACTTC